AGGAGAGGGGCAGGATCACCTCCCTCCACCTGCTGCCAACACTGCCTAATGCACCCCAGGAGACCACTGGCCTTCTTGGCCACAAGGGCATACTGCTGGCTCATGCTTAACTTGTTGTCCACCAGCAATCCCAGGTCCTTCTCGGCAGAGCTCCTTTCCAGCACGTCAACCCCCAGCCTGTACTGGTGCATGGGATTATTCCTGCCCAGGTGCAGGACCCTGTGCACTTGCCTTTGTTGAACTTCAGGAGGTTCCTCTCCGCCCACCTCTCCAGCCTGTCCAGGTCCCTCGGAATTGCAGCACAGTCTTCTGGTGTGTCAGCCACTCCCCCCAGTTTGTACCATCAGCAAACTTGCTGAGGGTGCACTCTATCCCTTCCTCCAGGTCATTGATGACTACGCTGAACAAGACTGGAGCCAGTACTGACTCCTGGCGGACACCGCTAGCTAGATTTTTCAGGGACAACAAGATGGCTTGATGGCTAGCTCTGATGAGTACTGTGTGAGGAGAGGAGAGGGAGCAGAGCAAACCACCGGTGGGCTGGGAGGAGGGGAGGGCAGAGGGAGGTCGTGATTCCCCCCTGCCCCCAGGGAAAAGAACAGGCAGCGCTGCAGATCTCAGTAGGGACTTCAGGGCACAGGAGACCATTTGAGGTTGGGCTGGGCAGGATAAATAGCAGTGTCCACCCTGGTAGCAAGGCCTTTGTGTCTTTTGAAGCCAGAAGTCCTTCAGGCAAGAGGGGAGGGAAAGGGAAACAACCTAATTAAGCTTCCTCTTTTGTCTTCCCTTCCTACCTGACATAATGTCCAGAAGGTGAGGAGATTCGACCATCTCTCAAACAAAGAATTAAATACTTTGAGCATCTGAGTAAGTATTCTGGAGCCCATTCCATTTGCCAGTGGTGTTAGGCCTGTGCTCAGCCTGGGTGCTTTGCGGTGGGATGTCTCATTCCAGAGGGAAATGAGGCCTGTGGAGGCCTGTCCCCCGAGCCGGATACCCACAGCTCCCCTTAGAGTCAACAGCAGAAAACATGCCCTGCAGGAGGGTGGGATTCATCTCTTCAGTAGGGCACCTGGCTTTGGCGCCAGGCCAGTCATGCTCTCGTGGACTGCGCTGCTCCCCATTGCCCACGGAAGGCCTGCAAAAGTCAGGCTCAGATGTTGAAGTTGAAAGTGAAGCAGGCCAGTCCCGCTGTTCCCCTGCCCTCCTGCACCACAAAGGAATAGAACGGTCATCCCATGCTGTAGCAGTGCAGGATGTCACGCTGCCCAGGCTGAGAAAGAACACCTTGGACTGAGTGCACTCCCATCCTCCTGATGAGCTAAGGAGAACCACTTTCTTGCTCTTGCTCATTCAAGTGGCATGCTTGGAGGTGACCATCAATCACCTCCTCGGGGAAGGCTTGCAAATGACCATGGCCTCTCCTCGGTGTTAGGGTCCCTCCTGTGGCCACCAAAAGAGGCGAGCTGCAAACCAGGTGCCTGTGGCTAAGGGCTTACCACAGTGCTTGGGCTTTCTTTTGGCAGATTCCAGCCAAAACCAGGCACAATCTGCAGCAAACGTGGGAGGAGGCAAGGCGTCAGAGACACCTTGGGGACACCTCTCAGAGGACTTTGCAGGGGCAGGAGGGCCAGATGTCAGCCATAAAGGAGAACATCCCTCACTGCAAGGAGGAAGGGTGGACTCACAGGAGAGAGCCCAGAGTCTCCGCTCACAGCAGACCAATGGGGAAAGAAGAGCAGAAAGACAGGGAAGAGGTAAGTCATGGCGACAGTCGGTCTGTCAGCAATGTCTGTCCCTCACCTCAGCTGCCTGTATACCAGAGCCATGAGAAGAGGGAGAACTGCTTGAGCAAGGGGAAGGCCATCACAGAGCAGATCTTTTAGCAACAAGGCAGCACAATGAAAGCAACTGAGCAGTGAAGCGACTCCATTGCAAAGAAGGGAATACACACGGACATACACACGACTTCACTCCCTTGATTCAGAAATCCTCTCACCACCGGTTGGAGCCCTGCAGCCCGTGCCTACGGAATAAGAAATCCTCTTTAATTCATTTATATAACCTTATAGATCTTTTTATCCTGTACATGGCACAACAGAAACCTTTCTGTGCCCCCATGGATCTTGAGGCTGAGTGGCAACAGACGTCCTCCTGAACTGGCAGGAGTGGCACTTGTGACAAGTCATCATTGTCAGAATTTCTCTGTTTGGAGGAGCACGGTGATGTTGGTGGGGTTTTGCCCAGCTTGATCTTGGATCTGCTGGGGGTTATCCCTACACATTCTCACACAGTCTGCTTGGTCAATCTTTCTTTTCTCATTTGAGTCATATGCTTAGTTGCACAAAGAGCTCTCTTAGGCCTTTCTCATAAAGGATGTAATATCTTCATAGTAAAACCCTACTGGACTAGGTAGGCTAAAGCTAAGAAGACGTTGGCTACCTGATTGTAGGCCGGATGCTTGCGCTCAGAATGCACTAAGGGAGAACCAGACCAGTGAAGAAAAGTCCAGAGAAAACTTCTAAGTCCAGATGGTGCAAGTTGTTGAGGTAAAACAGTATCCCATTATGAGCAAAGGCAATACCAAATTTAGCAGGGTAAAACAGGCATCAGTTAGAAGTTAATAAGACGTGGCTATGGTCTGAGTTTCTTGATCCAGCCCAACAGCACGGGAAATATGTAGTGAAAAATCATTCAAGATTCTGCTTCTTCTCACAGTAGTGAAAAAACAAAATAAAAAAAAAAAGTCAGGTCAGGAAGGTAATCATTGTTCTGAGGGAAACAGGAAGGTGCAGGCACAAAGTCCAAGACTGAACCCTAACCCAGAATGTCTGGGAGTGCATTGCCATCATTTCCATTCCTTTGTTGGTTTATTGGGATTTCTTTTCTTTTTTTTTTTCCTCACTCCAATGAGCCCAACATGCAGCACCCCCTGCAGAGGAGGGGTCCTGGTCCGAGAGGAACGTGGCAGAGCTGGAGAGTAAACTAGGTGAGCAGGGACATCGTGAGGTGGGCCTTCATTTCCCCACAAACAGAAAGCTGTGCTATAGCAACAACACCCTCTGAACTTCTTCTCTGCATAGCCTTCCTTGCAAGTAGTGCAGAATCACAAGCCCTTCTCTACACGGTGGCGCCTTGGCCATACACGGTGGCGCCTTGGCCATATGCCCTGCAGCTGTCTCCATGAGGAGGAGGTGAGCACAGGTGCCAAAGCTCCCTCTCCATCCTCTCCGCTCCGGAGGCAGTCTGTGGCATGGGCTCCCCACTTGCCCTGTCCACGGCAGGCGTCTCCCTCTGAGCTCAGGCATGTCCCCCGCCAAGTCCTGCTTCCTTCTCTCCTTTTCCCTGGTGGCATCCTGCAGGGACAAAGCTGCTTCTCCCCCACAGGCCAAGGAACCTGTGGGGAGAAGGGGAACTAGGTGATTTCTAGCCTCCATCCTGCCTGGCATGCCTTTGTGAAGCATTCAGGCAGGATGGCAGGGCCTGCGCTCTTTCTCCATCCTTCTGGCAGCCAGGAAAATCAAGCCACAGCGATCCTTGGGGAAGCGGATGATTCACTGCATTTTGCTGCTCTTCCTTGCAGAGTTTCTGTGCCCTTGCACCCGGGGTGGCAGACGTTCCCATGAGGGAAGGGGAATGAGAGTTGGCCAAGCCTGAGAGAGAGAGCTGACTTGGGGCTGCAAGGGAGAGAGTCTGAGTTCAGGCCCTTAGGAAGCCCCACTGCTCCACCCCAGGTTAAGGAGTTCCTAAGCACACCTTGGGTGGTTTCTCTCCTCCCAGCAGCATACTTTCCACAACAGTGCTGATTCCCCAGGAAAGGCCAGTTCACAAGCTGCGCATTTCAAACTACAGTAAGCTCAAGAGGCAGGTCCTTTGTGCTGCTCAAGTGAGAGATGGGGTTTTTTTCAGGATGCCTGAAAAGGAGACCCTCTCCGTTAGAGAGATGTGGTCTCCCCTGAAGTTAGGACACCCCAGCATTCCAATAACACTTCTCTTCCTTCTCAGCAAAGACAGTGGAGAGAAACACCGCAAGGGCCCTGAAAGCCATGCAGGAGCAGGTGGAGAGGATTCTGAGTGAGAAACTGGCCACATCACAGAGCCACGTGGAAGGGGCCCACCGTGCAGCATCCCCTGCAGAGGACCTGACCAGCACCTGGATTTCCCCCCTCCAGAACCTCTCCCAAGAAGTTCAAGCTCTGCAGAGATCCTTGGAGAGCATGCAGGCGTCCATGCTGCACGACCGCCAGCCCTCCAGAGCAGACCTGGAGGGCATAATGTCCCAAGTGGAGAAAGCAGTGCAGGGGTCCTGGTCCGAGAGGAACGTGGCAGAGCTGGAGAGTAAACTAGGTGAGCAGGGACATCGTGAGGTGGGCCTTCATTTCCCCACAAACAGAAAGCTGTGCTATAGCAACAACACCCTCTGAACTTCTTCTCTGCATAGCCTTCCTTGCAAGTAGTGCAGAATCACAAGCCCTTCTCTACACGGTGGCGCCTTGGCCATACACGGTGGCGCCTTGGCCATATGCCCTGCAGCTGTCTCCATGAGGAGGAGGTGAGCACAGGTGCCAAAGCTCCCTCTCCATCCTCTCCGCTCCGGAGGCAGTCTGTGGCATGGGCTCCCCACTTGCCCTGTCCACGGCAGGCGTCTCCCTCTGAGCTCAGGCATGTCCCCCGCCAAGTCCTGCTTCCTTCTCTCCTTTTCCCTGGTGGCATCCTGCAGGGACAAAGCTGCTTCTCCCCCACAGGCCAAGGAACCTGTGGGGAGAAGATGCAGTGAGGTAATTTATGTCATCAGCCAGAGTGGTGTGGAGGTTTTTACATGGATTCCCTTTCTTTTAACTTTGAAAACCTCCTGTGCTCTGAAGTAAGAGTTATATATTCACATTGCCTTTCTTAAAATGTGGATAATGATTTTTCACACTTAATTAGTCTTTCCCTCTGTTACTGATCTCTGCCCTTTCTTTAGGGGATAAATCTTAGACAATACTCATGCCAAGTAAAAGTAGAGAACACATTTCTCCCATCCATGATACTTTGCCGTGCTGTGACCTGCTCTTCTGAGGCACCTTATTCTCCCAGTCTTTTTCCAACTTTGATTACAGGATCAAAAGTCTAATCCAAATCATGTTTCTCTTTTCAATGTGGCCATGAGCAGATGCCCTCTTTGCTGGGAGACTTTTGTAGGAAAGTGGAACACACAGATTTTGAGAGAGCGGGAGTTAGATTGTCACCACATCTAAACAGTGTGTTTAGGAGTAATAGCTTTAGCAACTTCTAACCTTTCACCGTATTAGATTTTTCCCAGTCTACTTTCTAACACCTCCTGTCTTTTTACTACCATTTAGCTTTGCTTTATTTTGCATCAGATCAGGATGCCTTATAAGGCACACAATTTTGAAAATGAGTCTCACCAGTTTCATCCTTCTTTGCCCTACCCAGGAGCTAGTCTGTGTGCTTCCCCTGCCAGTAAAGAGAAACCATCTTCCTTTGCAGTGTCAGAGGATCCGGAGGACTGGATAATTCATCCCATCTGTTCTGGCATTGAACATGACCTTTTCCCCTCAGAGATTCCTCTGTTGGTTTCAGGTTGGGTTAGACACCTTGCTAAAAGAACAAGCCATCCTCAGTGTCCCAGGGACTTTCCCTCTCTGCAGGATGATACAGGAGCTTTTGGTGTGCTTTCCTACTTACAGAATAAACACCTTTCTGAAGAAGAGCACAGGCACAGTCTGTATGGGCAGTGGATGGGCTGTGTGTTTGTGGCATGGGCTCCCCACTTGCCATGTCCACGGCAGGCGTCTCCCTCTGAGCTCAGGCATGTCCCCCGCCAAGTCCTGCTTCCTTCTCTCCTTTTCCCTGGTGGCATCCTGCAGGGACAAAGCTGCTTCTCCCCCACAGGCCAAGGAACCTGTGGGGAGAAGATGCAGTGAGGTAATTTATGTCATCAGCCAGAGTGGTGTGGAGGTTTTTACATGGATTCCCTTTCTTTTAACTTTGAAAACCTCCTGTGCTCTGAAGTAAGAGTTATATATTCACATTGCCTTTCTTAAAATGTGGATAATGATTTTTCACACTTAATTAGTCTTTCCCTCTGTTACTGATCTCTGCCCTTTCTTTAGGGGATAAATCTTAGACAATACCCATGCCAAGTAAAAGTAGAGAACACATTTCTCCCATCCATGATACTTTGCCGTGCTGTGACCTGCTCTTCTGAGGCACCTTATTCTCCCAGTCTTTTTCCAACTTTGATTACAGGATCAAAAGTCTAATCCAAATCATGTTTCTCTTTTCAATGTGGCCATGAGCAGATGCCCTCTTTGCTGGGAGACTTTTGTAGGAAAGTGGAACACACAGATTTTGAGAGAGCGGGAGTTAGATTGTCACCACATCTAAACAGTGTGTTTAGGAGTAATAGCTTTAGCAACTTCTAACCTTTCACCGTATTAGATTTTTCCCAGTCTACTTTCTAACACCTCCTGTCTTTTTACTACCATTTAGCTTTGCTTTATTTTGCATCAGATCAGGATGCCTTATAAGGCACACAATTTTGAAAATGAGTCTCACCAGTTTCATCCTTCTTTGCCCTACCCAGGAGCTAGTCTGTGTGCTTCCCCTGCCAGTAAAGAGAAACCATCTTCCTTTGCAGTGTCAGAGGATCCGGAGGACTGGATAATTCATCCCATCTGTTCTGGCATTGAACATGACCTTTTCCCCTTAGAGATTCCTCTGTTGGTTTCAGGTTGGGTTAGACACCTTGCTAAAAGAACAAGCCATCCTCAGTGTCCCAGGGACTTTCCCTCTCTGCAGGATGATACAGGAGCTTTTGGTGTGCTTTCCTACTTACAGAATAAACACCTTTCTGAAGAAGAGCACAGGCACAGTCTGTATGGGCAGTGGATGGGCTGTGTGTTAACACAATGGAGGCCAGGAATCCTTGACAGATCCACTTATTGCCTGCTTTATTCTTTTCTCCACAGAGTTTCTCAAAATACAACGTTACAAAGGTAAGCATAAAGAAGATGATGAGCGTGAGTTCTTAGAGTCTACATGCAGCTCTGGAAAACACATCCACCCCAATCAATTCAGAGAACAATAATAATGGTTTGATCACTTTTTTCTTACTCAAGTGCGGCCAAGACTGTTGCCATTTTGGCAATGGAGTGGGAGTTGCCTGAATTGGCTCCTTCAGCCTCGTTCTCCCAACCTGTTTCTACCCTCTTAGGAATTTCAGGATAAGTATCTAGAGTCGATCTTTCTCCACTAGATGTGCAACTCCTTAACCTTTAGATCAGAGCTGATCTATAGGAGACTAGTTCACAATACTGTACCTTGCTAGAGACCTTTCAGATGTCTATCACGTACATAGATCAGCTGGGTAAACTGAAGTAAGAAACTTTTACTTACCATCTGCTCTAATCTGTGTTGAAAACTACCCTAGGTTGGTCAGAAGAAACTACTGTAGTCTAGCAAAACACCTGCAGTATTTCCTAAGGAGTTAATCATGGCATCTGAACTAAATTCCAAAAATCCCTCCCCAAATGCAGTGTCACTGCAGGGCAGGGGGAAAGATCAAGCCCACTGCCCATTCTATTCCTGTTTCAGCCCAGCAGGTCACACTGAAGGACAGAGAGAAGGTTTTTCAGCAGGCAGGGTTGTGGGATTATTGCAAGCACAATTTTAATGAACTCATGAGCTTCACAGTTCAGTAATTTAAAGGTCAGATTGTGCGGGCATAGGACAGGTTAAGCTGGAAATCTCACCAAGGCTGCAGAATCTTGATAGCTTTTCCAGGTTTCCTGCACCCCATAGTGTCTGTATCATGACCCACAACTTGCAGATTCTGTCATACACCATTTATACCAGCATACGCAGAGTTTTTATTCCCTCCATAATATTTCATGCTAGGATCTCTTCCAGTTTATGGACTTTTAAGCACACACACTGCAAAATTCAGATCTATGTTTTTAGTATTTTTTGCAGACCATTACACAGATGAGTATCTGCATTGATTTCCAGGTGGGTTTCAGCTGCCTGCAGGGATGGTCAATTAAGTGTCTCACCAACTACCTCTTCTGTTTATGTCATACTGTGCTTCCTTTGGCCATTATGATTTCATGTCCGCACTCCTATGAAAGGCTAGCATGCTTCTCTTTTTTCCCAAAGAAGAGGAATCACCTGGCCCTTTTTCTCTGCTCGCCCCTACTGAATTTCAAACACAAAGGAAGAAGGTATTAAGCCCCACATGCTCCTCCTAGGTGCTGAATGCTTGAGGTACAGGAACATCTGTTAAGTGCCTAGCATTGGATGCATGCTGGCTGGCTGCTCTCTCATCAGCAGCCCAAAGACAGCAACAGAGGGACATGGGAGGGGAGAACCTACAGGAACCCTGAGGCAGGAGGCTGCATAGGCCACAGGGAAGAGGAGGGGGGTTGGGGATGGCAAGTGAAGAGGTATATGGGGACAAAGCATAGAAAGCCTCCAAAAAACAGACCTCATGACTTCTGCTACTTAAGGAATGACTTGATCATTGCAGTTGATGTCACCCTGGATGCTGACACAGCTCATCCAAGGC